CCTCATGTTTTCTCGTATTTACAGATATGTATGTATATGTACATGTGTGTATATGTGTGTAAATATATATATTTATATTTGTGTGTGTATGTATATATACATACATACACATTGTATTTCCTAGTAGGTTGTAAAATCTTTGAAGGCAAGTGCTATTTAATTTTTATTCTGTTGTTTCTATTACCTAGCTTCCATAGTGCTTTGTATATAGAAAGCATTTAGTTGAATGAACATAAACTACTTTTAGATCACAGAAAATATCTATTTAAAAATATTATCTACCATTTTGTTTCAAAAAAAGACAGATTGATTCATAAATCAGGTTTTGGGTTTGCTTGTTTTTTGTTTTGTTTTGTTTTTTAACACTCTCTAATTATGTGATAAATTTGGTCAAATATCAGACAACTCCTGAAACAATCAGACCTATTCAAAATGCTAAAAAATAGAGTTGCAGCAGAAAATCCACTTTCTTCAATCAACTAAAAAAACCCGGACTCTTCTTCACTGTCTTTGGAAGCATGTTTTAAGTGGAGTCACCAATATTAGTTTCTCATGCCATTCAGCTTTCCATCTGTAGTTTTCCTCTCTCATATCAACTTTCTGATTATAACCTCTGATCAGATGCAGAACTTCTCATAAACATTTCAAGATGGAGCTTACTTTCTTCAGTTTTGTCTTAAATAGTTTTGTTTTCTTTGTGTGTGCGTGTGTGTGTGTGTCTGTGTGTGTGTGATTTTTGCCTCCCTCTATTTTACAGCACACAGTTTCTGTCATATCCTGTTGAATGAATAAATTGTAATTAAGGCATAGCTCTTAATTCATTCTTTAAGTATTTCTCTATCTACATATTCTTTTTTAAAAAACAAAAATGCAATCCAAAAACAAACTGTCATTTGCTGTTGTTTAAATGTGAAATTATGGTCTCAACATTGACTCCATAGCAGCATAACATGTTATTGATTTATCCTACTTGGGAAAGCCATTGTGTGATTTTTTTTTTTTTAAGGAAGGTTTATTGTTCCAATTTCGGGAAGGGTAGGATAACAATCTAATTTGCTTTTCCTGTATGTAAGTGTGTGTGTGTGTGTGTGTGTGTGTGTGTGTGTGTGTGTGTGTGCATGTGTGGAATACACACATACACATATATACACACACAGTGTGTATTCATACACATATACGTATCCTATAAAAGGAAGAGCCTTAAAACATGTAGATGGAAGAAGAAATAAAATAGGTACCATGAGAAATTGAGTATTACTGTATTTAGAATTACCACCTCATCTCCTTGATAACAGTTTAACCTTCTTCTGTACGTTTGAAGATAGATACCATGACTATAAAATGTTGAGGGTTTTTTTTTTTTTAACACAGTGGGATGTCTATGTATCTAATCGACCTATATTTTTCCAGATTCATTACCCATGTTTTTTAATATAACCCTACACTCACTAACTTTTACTTAAATACATCTCTTTGCATTATTTAGAATATTATATGATTAGAAGAGCTTTCTGATATAGTTGGAAGTACACTGAAGTGGGAATTAGGTTTCTGTTTTGGATATTCTATAAGTTGGACAAGTGGGAAGGGAAAGAAATGGAATAAGCATTTATATAGTCCTTACTACATGCCAGGCACTGTCTAAGCGCCCTTGCAAATTGGCAAGTCACCTAAACTTTCTGTCCTTCAGTTTCCTCATGTATAAAATGTGGGACTATAATCTCTAAGGTGCTCAAAATTTTAGGATTCAGTGATTGCTTTTCCATCTTCTGAAGTAGGCCAGACTTCTTTTTAGTAGTTTAGCATATATGTCTACCTTGTATGATTCTGTGGATTCCCCATTAGAATTTATAGACAAATATTCCTCTTTAAAGATTAAAGGGGTTTTTTTCTTCTAAAAAGGGAAGACTGTGAGATTTTACAAATTGGCACTTCAACCCTGTAGAGTAGAATTGTGGATGGTGTGCTATTGCATTTAGATGAGGTACGCTATGTCTGCCTAATACACATTTTCAGTTGATTGGGTATTTGCTAAAAGTGGGTAATTTAAATTATCTACCTGCAATTTAATTCTGGTAGATCTCTAGTTTTTAATCTTGGAAGTGGTTAGTATGCATTTAAATGAAACCATGAATTGATATGTAATATAATTTACATTTTTAGTGGATAGATATTAAACTTTTACTATATAGTTCATAGATATTTGTTGGCAGAAGTAAGTAAGGTACTTTTTAGGACTTTCTCCAACTTTTGATTCTGATCTTGAATACTACATAGAATTTTGTTAGGCCATTATTTGCATGGGAGATTTCCAAAGAATAACTGCAGAAGGACCTCAGGAGCTTGATGGTCCTGTTTTTCCCTCCATTGGTCAGAACTGACACTAACATGATGTTAGTTAACAATATCTCCTTCTTCTTTAAATATGTTCGTGTCTCCATTAGACCAAGACGCATTAGAGGTGCCACATTCTCTTGACTCATCTATCCCTTAATTACTATCTCACTTCTGCCATTATTGCTAAACTTTCTTAGGTATTCTGCCACCGTTGCCATCTCTTTGTCACACACTGTCTTCTAACATTTTCTACTCAGATGCCATTCTCAGCACTCCATTAAATTGTTCTCTCTAAGGTCTGTGACTTTTCTCTGAGCCAAGTTAGTCTCAGTTACCATCATTGTTTCCCTTCTTGATGCATGTGACATGATTGACTGGTGTGCCATAAAATAACCTTAGTTTTTGTGATCCTTTTCCTGTATCCTTTGGAGTGCCATTTAGTTTTGCCTTTGCCAATTTCCTTCACATTTTCTCTTCCTTAGTGCCAGTTAAACCAGTATTTAATTTGAGATTTTTCCACATTCTGCATCTATATTGCCAGTCTTCAGGAGTTGATGGACTCTGGTACTTGTGCCTGAATAGGAGATATCTATTAGATAATCAGTCATCTCGATATTTGGATAAAAATCATAGTTGAAAGGAACCCCAAAAGTCACCTAATGCATCCTTTACTCAAAGCAGCATCTTGGGCAAGTGGTCAGCAAAACACTACTTGAACACTTCCAGTGTATATATGTGGAGCAATTACAGCTGCATTTTATTGGATAAACAGGATATATTTCTCATAGTCTTCAAAGAGAGACCAGATGTGTTTGGTGCATAGAGAACAACTGATGAAAATGGAAGCAAGGCATCCAGTGGAGAGACACAGTAGAGAATAAAAGGAAATTGGTGTTAGCTGATGTAGAAGTTGGGGTTTTAACAAGATTTGTGTCTCACGTAGAATGGCAGTTCCACCAAAACTGGAAGCAGTAATGAATTACAGTTGTAAAGAGAATATCTGTTTCCAAATAAGACAGATGTGGGGCCAGGAAGCATTTAGGCAGAAGAAACTACAATAAGTTCTTTCTATGAAGTGGGACCAAATTAGATGCTTTACCCTGATAGGTTAATAATACATGAAGTGGTAAGAGTTCTTATTGCAAGCTTGATCTGAGAGTTTGTAGCTATTTTACCAACTTCTTATGATAGGTTGGTCATATCCCTTTGGTGTTATCCTCGATCTTCTTTTCCTCCCATATCTAATTTGTTTGCCCGCTCCTATCAGTTCTGGCTCTGTAAAAACGCCCTTTGCAGGCAGTGAGACGCCATCATGCGTAGAGGGCCAGGCCCGACATCAGCAAGACTCTTCTTCCTCAGTTCAAATCTGGCCTCATACATGTACTAGTTATGTGACCTTACCTCAGTTTCCGCATGTGTAAAATGATCTGGAGAAGGAAATGACAAACCACTCCAGTATCTTTGCCAAGAAAACCCCAAAGGGGGCCACGAAGAGTCAGACACGACTGAAGCAACTAAGCAGCAACATCACACATCCCCTTCTCTCCTGTGATTCTGCCCTAATTCATTTAATACACAGTTACCTGAATTATCTTCTTCAATCATGTTTTCTTTATTTTTCACTCAGGAGTCTAAGGTGATTCTGTTACCCATATCACAGATAAATTTCTCTTCTTAGGATTTGGAACTCTTTACCAGTTTTCCCTGCCTTTTATTCTTTCTCTCCCCCTGTTAGGCAACACAATCATGTTACCAATTTCATTTCTACATGGACCCTCTGATAAAGAATAATAATCTCTAAATACATGAGTTATTTATTAGTGTCTATGCTTTCTAATGTGACATTCCCGTTTATTGGAATGTCCTTTCCCTGCGTTCCCATACAGCCTTAACATCCTAGTTTAAAACTTACCTGTAGGAAATCTTCCAGTAACTCTCCATCTGACTTTTCTCACAGCATTGCTATACCCAGCCTCAATTTCTTTATACCTAATTGGTAGTATAGTAATTTATATATATGGTTATATTGGTTTGAAATTATCTTTAGTTGTTTCATATACATATTTATATGTATGTGTGATTTATCTTTCTCAGTAGAGTTTACAGTCTCAAAGAGCAGGGGCACTTTGTCTTTTCCTTTGTTTTTACTCCACCGAGAGCCCCCAGTGCACTCTCAGTTAACGAAGAGTACTGCATTTTATTAAGAGAGCTGAAGCCATCACCATAGATAATCATTAAAGTTCTTTAAGATTTGTGTCAGGTTGGATAAGTTGTCTGTGAGAATTGTTCATTTAGACATGTATAGGGTTCCCATCTGCTCAACCTTAGTTGGAGATGTTGTACACATCAAATCAGATCATACGGGTGAAGTACATACGGCCTGCCATTATTGTTGGGAGGAATATGTGTTTCTACTTTTATGTGTACAAAATAACTTGATTTTTTTTTTAGATTAAAGGATGTTAACTGTGAGGTCCAAGTATTTTCCCCCCTTTTTTCATTCCTGTTTCATTAAAACATTAATCTTGCCAGAGGGAAAAATTGGGATGCAGATAATGCCTTGAATAGAAAGCTCAAAAAGCCCTAGTGCCTCTCAGAAGTGAGAGTTTGCAAGTCTCTTTAAGCTGGGCTGCCTGCCTCAGGACTCTGTTTTCTTTTTTCAGGTTTCCTGAAATGCAGTATTTCCAACAAGAAAATGTGAGAAAAATTCTTACAGATGTTCTTTTCTGTTATGCGAGAGAAAACGAGCAGTTGCTTTATAAACAGGTAATGAAAATATCGTACAGGTGGCATCCATTGACTCAAAATTTTCTATACAGCTTGACAAATGATAGCGCAATAATGTAGGCTTTATTGTATCCAGAGTTGTATCATAATGCTCAGGCAATCAGAGAGATGCTTGTCAGCTGCATGTGAAGAAAAGTAAGCTCATTGACACACATATGCTTCCTCCTCATTATAAGACATTTCACCAAATTGTCTTCTATAAGGCTGCTCAAGCTTTTCTTTCAACTTTTGGGAGTTTGTTTATAAACAGCCTTTTTGAAGCCAATCTAGTAATAAAACTTTCCATGGTTGTATGTATAAATATTGTATCCAAGTACAGCATTTATAAATATGTGAAATAATGTAAAAAGTTATGAAGTACCCCATCAGTCTCTAAAACTTAGCAAAAATCAGAGTTTCAAAAAGTTGTTTATAGCAATTGAAAATGTATAGTTTCATCATGATTCTGCTATCTGACCCAACACACAGTCATTAACACTCAGAAAATTAATGCATTACCTCTTCCAAAGAGGAAATTTCCATTATTTGCTCACAGTGTTTTAAGAAATATGTAAGTTTATCATGACTTTATTTTTAAGTACAGATAGCATAATTGGCTAGGTTGATTATATTCTGAAAACATTGCCTGGAAAGTCATAAGCATGAGTTTGTCCATTTTTTTTTTTTTTAGCAATCAGAGTTTACAGCGTAAAAGATAAATTCTATATCCTGAGTCAAATATCAGAAAAAACATTTTTTAAATCAAATTTTGACTAAACATAAAAAAAATCTATTATAGAAAGAAAAGAGCTAAATAGGAATGGAATTAATTTGAAAAGGTTGCATATAATCAAACCAGAGAATAATTATTCAACATACTTTTTTCTCCTTTTTTATGTTTGTGGAGAAGAGCAAAAATTGTGCTGAGGCAATTCTGTACCAATGGAATATTGTTGTGCTGTCAGAGAACCAGAAACGTAATGTTGCCCTGCCCCGCCATTTTCAATAAATATGACCCAGAGCACTTGTGTTGAAGAGTAGATAGGGAAATGGAGGATCCCATTCTAGATAATTTAGACAAAGTCTATCATTTATTGAACAAGAAAGTAATATTATCTGACTCCTGGGTATGACTTAAAAGGCTTAATTACCCCCTGCACATGTTTAAAATCCTGTAGATTCTTTACTGAGAAATAATACCTTGCTGCAGAAGGACTGAATATTTAGCCAGATCAAATTTAAGAAAAGACCTTGAGTTTCATCACAAGCTGTTAAAGCTATTATTTTGTACTAGGTGACACCCCGTTTAACATAGACCATATTGTTAATAGTTATGGGATTTTATTGAATTAATGAGACTGTTATCATGTAGTAGAATGTCTTGCTGAGTTAATTGAAACTGCAGAGATTATATAAATGGTATTAATGAACTTTGACTGCCTGATGCCTCGGCTTTAATAAAGACGGCGTGGTGGGCTAAATGAACATAGGCAGATGAAAGAGCAGGTTCAATCTTGTGAGCCTACAGGCTGTTGACGATGGAAACTTCCTTACCTTTATTTTCCACTGGTACAAATTTGGCTCTGCGGTGCTTACTGAGGAGTAGTTCAGCTGAGATAAAGCAATGAGACTGCAGAAATGCTGACAGTTTAGAGGAGCACAAAATACATATTTTAGGGCCAAGGAGTAAAGCAATACACCATTAAGTGTGCTTTGTCACTTTTACAAAATAACAAACCTAGTCACTTTGAGCATCTCTTCTACCATACCCTTCAGGGGATTCTACTGGAATTTCCATTTGTAACTCCTCACCACGTCTTGCCAGCTTTTACCCTGTCCACTTCTTAGACACTCAAGTTTTCTATAGTATGGGGCCACTCTGAAAGAAACCTTGAGAGCTTAGATGAGAGGCAAAACTTGGGCTGAGTTCTGGCTAGGGATGCTTCTGATGGACAGGTAAAAAGGATTCTTGCCTTCCATCATCAAGGAACCATCTATGTTCCTTTAGAGTTTGAGTTAGTGTCACTGCAGCTGGATTTTTCAGTGGAATTCCTCCCAGACCTTTAAAACCCAACTCAAAGGCTAACTCCATGATGCAGATCTCCCTTCATTCTTGATCACCTTTCCCCAAAGGCCCATCCTAGATCTTAACACCTCTCTTATCCACTCACCATGTATTGCTTTGGGATTTAGTCATTATAAACCTATTTAATATTAAGGCTTTTTCTATGTTGTTGCCTCCTAATTTTCTGAACATAAGCAAAAATTGTGGCTATTTTGTGAGTTTTAAATTACTATCTGGGCAGGAACTTTAGCCTATCTACCCTAAGTTACAGGGCTAGCACAGTATGCACTTAATCAGTGTTTGGCTTTTGATTGATGTATTAGATTAAGTGACCAAAGAAATCATTGATTTTGATCCCTGAGATACCTTAGAGATCAGCTTTTCTAAATCCCTAATTTTACAAATGAGGAAACAGACCCACAGGGGTCGAGTGACTTGCCCAAAGTCACTTGGCTATTAAGTGAACCAGTATCCAATTACCCCAATCTAGAACTCTTTCCCCTGCTCTGTTGAGTTGATTAAACTGCTGAGCTTGCCATCATCCCATTCACCATATTAATCTATAACAATTATAATAATAGACTTTCTCTACTATATTAACTGACTTTAATATAGCAATTTAAGGTGTGCACATTGATTTTACATACATTAACCATTTGCTTCATAACAACCTTGTGAAGTGGGTATATTTCTTTGATTATAAAATAATAATCAGCATATTGATCTAACTAAAATTTACCAATCCTTTGTTTGAAAAATGTGGAAAAATTTCAAACTACTAAAATGGCCATATATTTTATATACTTTATGCTGAATACATTACTTTTAAGATTGCTATGAAAAGAGGGCTGAAAAATCCAAATGAAAAAGATCCTATTATGAATTTTAGCTGAGATACGCTCATACTTTAATATTTTACAAATATTCTTTGAAAGGTGTTATAGAAACATCGGTGTTAGTTGTAAAGCAATTAAAATTTTTCCATGTAAAATTTATTACAACTTCAGTAAAGGTTAAAGCATTGGACAAGGCCTGCAAATAGTGCCTAGAAATGGTATCTTAGGAAGAGTGAGGCTAATCTATAAAAAGGAGTGAGAAAGAGACTCCTTCCTGTGACGGGGAGGCTTCAGAGGGAGGAGTGTTTTGTTGGGAACTGGAGTCATGGATTTAGTGATTGTGAGGTGGTACCCTCCCTCGGGTTTTAAAATCTCGCTATCTTCCTAAGTGCCAAGCTTGCCTGCCAGGCACACACAACAGCCAGTTCTAAAGCAATAGTAATTGTACGTGAGCAGAAATAGACTCTGCTTTTTTTTTTTTTTTTTTTTTAAAGGCAATCGGGGTTAAGTGACTTGCCCAGGGTCACACAGCTAGTAAGTGTCAAGTGTTTGGTCTGAGACCGGATTTAAACTCAGGTCCTCCTGACTTCAGGGCCGGTGTTCTATCCACTGCGCCACCTAGCTGCCCCTGGACTCTGCTTTTAAAGGAGTGTCATGAGAGAGTGAGAAGAGCAGTCATCATAGGATCCTAGAACTGGGAGATTTGAACCTAGCCCATAGGAAGCATACAAAGTCCATGCGCGTGTCTGTGGGTGGTCACGGGCCCAGGTTGTATATCCAGCATCTGCCCAGGCGACATACTGTCATGGTGTGTATTCTGGTGGAGATGGACTTGGATTTCTTAGTTTAAAATATGACTTCATTTGCTATTGGTGGATTACTTGATCTATGAGAGTTTGTCCTTGGTTTAGGACTTTTGACTAGGTTGCCTATGACTGGTACCTCTTCAGTCCTTCCTGCTCTGTAAACCTAGGGATCTACAGTGCAAGTTCATTTGCAAGTTCATTTCCCAAGTTCTTCCAAGTGACATCCCCTTCCATGCCCTGAATGGAATTTTGGATAAAGGGACCAACAGTGACAGGTGTGTAATGAAAGAAAAAAGAAGTGGTCCCAAGTGGTATTGTACTCATTATAGCCCAGATTAAAACTTGCTCAGTTAAACTCAGTCATATCAGAGTCCACTAACGCAGAATTGATGATCACGTGGATGTGTGTTGTGCTAAAGTTTTCCTTTGCATTGTCCCTGAGGGGCCAGAGTGAGGGGAGGGAGACCAAAATGCTTACTAATTATATTAATTTAAACAAGACCTGCAGGGGGATGCCTTACTGTTCTCCAGCACTTCCTTCATTTCCCAGTGATTGTGTCCTTTCTTAAGTACCGTTCCAGAGCTCAGGAGAGAAGCAGCCGAAGTTGTGGAGGGTGCCCAGCCTGGAGATGAGCGAGCATAGACAGCGTTGGGGTCAAGAGCTGTTCTCAGACATGTACCATACTTTCCCATTCCAGCAAGCTAAGCACATTCGTTGATGGGGAATGAGCCCCCTGGCACAGATCCACCAGTATTGGTCTCACTTGTGTCCCTTGCAATACTGTTCAACAAGGATATGTCTGTAAAGTTTGGGTCAGTGTTGTTACCTGTGCTTTACCCATCAGGTGCTGGCCCACAAAGTGCCGGAAGGGGAATCTTGTGCTTTGCCAGCCTGCCGTAGAAATGACAATGTGCAAAACCTTCATTTGGGGCCACTTGACAAACAACCAACTGTGTAGAAGGTCTGGGCTAAAGAATATGTAGGAAGCCTTCTATTTTATGAAAAGTTGTACAGTGGATAGAGTGCTGGGTCTGGAGTCAGGAAGACTTGAGTTCAAATCCAGCCTCAGATACTTGCTAGCTATGTGAGCCTGGCCAGGTTACATAACCTCTACTAACCTCAGTTTCCTCATCTGTAAAATGATGATAATAATCCTACCTAGAAGCAGTGACAGAGTTGTTTTGATTACAGTTTTAGAATGAAAAGAGGGGCAGGGGAGAAAGAAAGAAGAGGAAAGTATTCAGCTGGTGGTGATGCACCTAGTGAAGCACTTGTGAAACATGACCAGGGCC